GGGGGGGGGGGCGCTGGGCGTGTGGAATGAAATTTCTTGCAGTGGTACGTGCGAGGGAGCCTGCCGCGGGCTGCTGGACTTGTCGGGGTATTACGGCTCGCTCTAATGGAAACTGTCACCGAAACGTCCACGGCAAAGCCGACCTGGACTGACCAATCGCGCACTCGTCCACTTACCGCGACGGCTGCCGCCGCGACCGGCAGTTTTCTCTTTCTCCTTCTGCTCCTTCATCTTCCTTCCTCACTAGCTCTCCTGTTTTGCGTGTTAATCCGCGGATTTACGCGCGATTTTGCACACGAGTGCACGCGGCGCATTCGTCCGTCTGCGTTTCTCCAGAGGAGAGTCGTCAAGTGGAAGTGGTCCGTGACGAGTCCGACTGAGCGTCCAATCAATCGTGTCTTTATCTACTGGCGGTCGCGGACAGTAACTGATGTTTAGTGCAGGCGGCCGGCCAAGCGGGATGCTAGGCGGTTCTCCTTGTTAATCGTCGTATATGATTGCGCGCGGACGAGGTTAGTTCGTTTACCTGTGCGCGTCATATTGAATTCTCTTCTCGGATCATTGAGTTCCCTTTGTGCGCCAAAGGATCGCGAGAACGGGCAAGCGCCGCGCGTGTTAGTTCTTATGTCGAACGCTAAATATGCTTTTTTAGTTCTCTAGTATCCACGTTATGTGCGACGCTTGTTTAAGGAAAATGGGATTTGGAGTTGAAAGGGCACACTTAGAATTCACTATGTCTCGAATAAGGCTCCACGCCTTATTCTGAACATGTATCGAATGCTAAATATGTTTTTCTGTTGCTTTAGTTGAGTAAAAATTATGTGCGACACTTAATTAAGAGAAACGGAACTTGAGCTTGAAAGGACACACTTAGAGTTCGCTATGTGTCTCGATAGGGCTCCAGAGTTCTATGCTATATCGAACGCTAAATATGCCTTTCTGGTTCTCAAATTGAATCGACGTTATGGATGACATTTGTTTAAGGGAAACGGAACTTGAGATGAAAGGGTACACTTAGAATTCGCTATATATTTTGAATAGAGCTCCAGGGGCCTACTATTCTGGAGGAACGCTAAATATGCCTTTCTGGTCGTCAAGTTGAATCAACGTTATGTTTGATTGATGCTTGTTTCAAAGAAACTGAATTTGACTTGAAAAAGGGCACACTTAAAGTTCGCTATGCGTCTGCGAATAAGGCTCCTGGTTGGCGCGAATAAATTTACTTATCGACGGGGAACGTACGAAAACTTGACGCACGGCGGAAGTGAGATTCCGTGGAGCTCGATGGCCTCGCGGAAATTGGCGCAGTCCCGTGGAAATTGTTGAATGTGACACGCGTGAAGTGGAGCAGCGATGGCCCTTCGTGAAAAAAAATAGGGAAAAACAACGCAAACTCGCCGTCCTCGATACGCGAGGTCGGGCTGGTCACTCGGAGCGCGCCCTTTGAAAGTGCGCGATCGTTCAAACGCACGTCACCCGCGGCGGCCGAAATTCCCAAGGATCTGTCGGAGGGGGGAGAGGTCTATCAATTCCTACGCACCGAATCAGCAATTCCGCCGGCGTCGTGGGAACAGCGTCCCGTCGTCCCTCGTCGTTATCCTCCGCGCGTCGCTGCACATTCGACCGCCTCAAGATCGTCCCGGTAAAGCGCGACGGTAGATCGTCCGCTGCCGGTGGATCATCGTCGTCACGATCATCTTATCCACCTTTCTCGCTTTCTCACCCGTTTCCCCGCGAAACCGTCCCAACCAGATACACCAGCCGGAAATCCCTTCACGACGGGTCGGAGGAAAAGAGGAGAACGGGACGTTTCCCGTCGACTCTCGCACGTCCCTCTCTTGACGCTACCTGAGAGAAAAGAGAGGGGAAAAAAAAGAAAAAAAAAGAAAACTCCGAGTCTCTCTCGAGGCGATGAGTGGCTGCTCTCCCGGAGAGAGCGGCGGCAGAGAAGAAGCGAGCGCGATCCGGAGAAGGAACAGGAAGGGACGATGTTACACGCGCGGTTGCCAGTCGCAGACTGAAGTCGCGATCCGCGAGTAGCATCGATTTCGGTGGAGGGGGAAGGACTCGGGGGCGGCAAGAGAAGGGGCAGCGCCGTGAAGCGTAGGAGGGACGGACGGTTGGCGTGAGGGCAGGCAGGCAGGTGAATCGAAGGACGGACGCGAGAGGAACAGTCGGGCGCATCGCGTCGCGTCACGTCGCATCGCATCGCATCGCGCCAAGCGAAGCGAGCTGATGCTTATGTCGCTTACCAGCTACTAGTAGCAGTAGCCAGTGACTGCTACTCCCGACAGTGGCAAAGGGAAGGTAAACTCTGGCGAGAGAGCGACCGCAGGTCGTGTCGGAGCGCGGAAAGGGTTAACAGCCGCGCGCGTCGTAAGCGGTTCGGCCGTCGTACGCGCGTCTGACTAGTCGCGCACACTAACTACTGCTCGAGTCACACGTCCCGCTGAAAAGCGGCGTAAGGAAGCACCGCTCTTCTGGCTCTCCTCGCCAGGCACTTTCGTCGTGTATTCCGTCGGTCCAGGCATCAGTCGAGTCAGAGGAAAGAGAATTCGGCAGAAGAGCAGGAAACAGAAAGGTAGAAGCCAGAGTTCGCGCTGGTGGAAAAACAGAAACTGTTGACTGTCACTTAACCACCAGCGTGAGTTCTGACTTTTGTCTTTCTGCTTTTTTGCCAAGAATGTGAATTCTCTCATTTCATCAACAAGGGTTTTTTGAATCAAGAAATAATACAATGGCGAAGTCAATAGCGAAAAGATCGCAGCGCTTCTGTGCCAGTAAAATTTAGAAAACTCGCCCGCCATTCAATGTATTCTCTCTAAGGAATGTGTGAAAACAGAGATCTCAAAGAACTAAAACAAATTCTATCGCTGCTGCTACTCTTGGATACGGATACGCGAAAGTTGTCGACAAAAAGTATCGCAAACTTGCCGCCATTGACCATGCTAGTTAGGGAATGCCAACAACCTAGTCGCATTTTGCGCCAAGACTATTCTGCCGATTGGTAGAACATTCGAACGCGCCCAAATACCGCTCGAGCATCGTCTGATTGTTGTCGAACGATGCTCCGAACTTGCGAGATTCCTCACGGCGGATGCACGGCATGTTCCCTCCCCCTCCTCCCCCGTTTTCTCTTTGCCGAACTGTGTACTCTTTCCGCGTCTCGCGTTTCGCAACAATGTCCGCTGGCGATTATCGCGTCGGTATTCTCGCTCGTCGCGCGGATAAATTGGCTTGCCACGGATCACGTATCGCGCGGTTAACTAGCGGCGATCGAGAGCTGCGCGACGCGCCAATTAATTGGCGGAACGCGCGCGAATCGCCATTGATATTATTTTTCCGCGACCCGGGCTCGCGCGCACAACCGGATATTAAAAACGTAAGAATTTTTCGCGCGCTTCAAAGCTCGACATTAAATTTTCATGATTCTACACGCACGATATCGTGCCGCTTGTTTTATTATTCGCCCGCTTATTAAATTCATAAATTGTTTAATTCTGGTTTTACACGTGCGGATATTTGCTGCGTACCGTAACACATATAAACACCCGCACGCGCACGCACACACGTAACGCACACGTGTGCCCATAAAAAAAGAGAAAAAAGAAAAACAGAAGAAAAAAATTGATGACGCTGTAAATGTTGTTTTATTCGTGCGCATTTATTTCAAAATTGCTCGAAATAAGTAATATTTTATCGGAACCTGAATATCAGTGTTTTCACAAAATGTTTGTTATCGCGAAATTTGCGAAATATATTTGCACATCGCGAAATAGTTTCTACCCATAATCGCTTTATTTCGTTTCGCTTACGCGTTCTAAAAAATATTAAAAAACTCGTGAACGAGAGAGAGAGAGAGAGAGAGAGAGAGAGAGAGAGAGAGAGAGAGAGAGAGA